ACCTTTTGTGAATCATAATTTATTCTAAAATCATTTAAAATCTTTGCCAGGGCGGTCTCGGTGCTGTGGTTCATCCCTAAAACCAGACTGAAATTTTTCCAAGATGTTATGATCATCTAAAAAATTATTTAGCTGGATAAAAACAAGTTTTTCTAAAATTTGGCTTAAAAATGGTAGGTTAGACACTGGTCGGTAGTTGTTAAAATCATTAAAATCTAAATTGCTCTTCTTCAGCAGGGGCCTCACCACTGCAGTTTTGAAGGCAGAGGGAAAGACCCCCGTCTGAAGAGAGCAATTCATCATGGTTAAAATCTCATCCCTAAAAGATCCATAAAATGACTTAAAAAATGTACTATGTGACATCACACAGGACTGCCCTGATTACAGCCTGTTGTTTCTGTTTATAAGACCCTGGCTATGAGGGGGAGTTTGTAGTGTGGATACCTGTCACACTGTTCCTTATTCCCCCTAGCCCCGCCCCTAAGTTTATCAGATCTATTTGAAATGTGTTTGTGGGTGGAGTTTACGTGTTTAGTCCCACTTTAAGGCGAATGTAAAACATAATTTTATGTAGGTTTGATTTTCTATCTTCATTTCTCTCTCGCTCCTCTTTGTTTAGCCTGTAGATTCAATGGTTATATTAGCTCTTTGGTCTTCCTTTAAGTTTCCTGGTTTAAATGGTGAAAAACTACTCAAAATCTGTGAATAAAAGTACAGTTACATAGCAAAACATCTACACAATTACAAGTACTACTGCGAAACTTGTACTTGAGTGAAAGTATAAAGTACACAACTACACAAGTGACTAGTGTTTAAGGCTTTGTACATAAAACTTCAAGCTGACTTAAGTTTCTTTAATGCAGGCTTGTTCTGGACGTTACGGCTGCTTGTTACCATGGAGATTTCATTGCTTTGCCTGAAATATTCAGCAGTAAAGCATTACATTTATTTATGTAACCTTAATTTTATTTTGGGTGTTTTAATTGCTCAAAAATACCTTGAAAAAAATATTAATTCTTATTGTGAGTGGGGTCACCTCTCCATAGATCTGACCTGTAACCATGGCCTGGTTGTGCCACTGGCTTGTCTCTAAGGAGATAGACAAGTTTAATGCCATACTGAGGAACAATATAACACTGCCATTATCGCTCCCAGCAGAAAAGTTACATAGTAGTGTAATGCTACTAACAAATTTCTGCCCAAAAAATATCTGCATTAATATTAGAATTGCCAGTGTGTAAATGATCTTGCATTTTATCCTTACCATAATGAATGAATGTTAGATTAGCAACATCTGTGCTTAAATTGTCTTTTAAGGGGTCACGGTGATGAATTAAAATTTGGCATGTGCCACGAATAAACCACAATCATCACCAAATGAATGTACCTTAAAACACATCCCAGTATCATAATAACAATCATGACAAGAGCAGAGGTGGACGGCTCATTCCAGTAATCCCACACCAGACTGAAAACACCTAAAAAATTGTGAACATGGTGATTTGGGATTATGACCAAATTAAGACAAGATCTGACCAGGTTTTGTGATGGTGTCGTATTTTCATTGTGATCTCTCAATGTGGAATGAGCTGTAGATATTCAGACTATAATTTAATCTAAAGAGGAGGCTCTGTTCACACCTGTACTACAGTGAGATATGGATTGTAATAAAGATATAAACCCATTATTAAGACCACAAATGTACTATGTTTTAGCTTCAAATGTTAAAATAAAGTCTAACTAAAAAACAAAATGCTTAAACTGCTGAAATAATGTTTTTGTTTGTTTTTTTCTTCCCATAATGTGAGATGGCTATGTAAAGGACAATGCAATTTAACGTCTTTAGGTTCACAATGTAACATTTCCAGTGGAAGGTGAGATACCTGCTTGTCTCCATGGAAATGTTATTGCTTTGCTTTCACCGTATGACATTAACCTTATCCATCTCCCTGGTGACATGAGACTCTGCTAAATGTAAGAATGTCTGCATTTTAGATATTTGAGCAATAAACACATTTTCAATCTTTAACTGAATGAACACAAGACTGGTATGTTTAATGCCATACAGTGGAACATTCCAGCCAAAGCTGTAACATCTTCATGAAAGAAGCAGGTTGTGGACCCCCCACCAGAAAAGTTATAATGCACCATTAAGAATTTTAGAATTTTAAGACACCAGATCTGCCCAGCCCTGCAGATTGGGGATGGAGGCGTGATGGCAGTCAGTGGTTAGGACAAGTGGCAAAGGACGCATTCTCTGATCTTAAAAAGTGTGGATGCAGAAGCCTGTGCTGGGTGATACAAGTGCGCAAAGACAAATTTGGCGTGTACAGGGTCATGCAAATGTGGCAGCAGCTGCACTTAGAGCACTTTGAATAAGTTTA